CAGTAGTGAGGTTGGCCCAGGATCAGACTTTGTTTCGTTCTGCTGTGCATGGGGCCGCTATGAGTCAGTTCTGACTCGATGGCACCTAACAACAGTCTGTGAAATGGAATCCTGGTGTGGTGCTGTGGGTTAATGCGCCAGACTGCAAAGCTGTTTGAACTGTAAGGTCGGTGGTTCAAGCTCACCAGCTGCTCCTCGGAAACCCTATACAGGGTCACTATGGGTCGGAATCGACTCGACGGCACGTCACAACAACAACAGCAATCTGTGAAGTAGGAAAAACAGTGCCGACCCCATCAGGTTTTATGATAATGGAGCAGCTTAGTTCATGGAAGGTGCTGGAACACAATGCCTGGTGTATACTGAGGGTTTAACAAATGCTCAATAAAAAAGGAGGCAGTAAGGGGAGGAACACAGGCATCGAATCAGTCTTTGAACACAGTTATGCTCTTAAAATGTAGAGTTACTAAAGATTTAGCATGGATTCTTGAATGTCTGAGAACTGGATCTCCTAATACTACCCTTTCATGGGGAAATATTCCTACTTACACAATTTTGTGAATTATATGGGAGCTGTAAAGGTCACGTAACAATATGTACCACGGTATCTCAACATTCATCATCTTCTCTCTCCCTCTTCCCCTTTTTCTCTCTCTCCCTTACACCTAAACCAGAGACCAAGCCCAAACAGCCCTCAATTAAGGAAAAGATAGTCTTTCTATTGAAAGGGAACCAAAGAGATGTTTCCACTATATAGGTACACTTCCCTTCTAACAGGACCCCAACTTTAAAATCAAGGGAGATGACCACCACTCCAGACTTACTTTAAAGGGCCTCCCTTCACTCACTCACACACACACACACACACACACACACACACGCCTGCCTCTCGCATCCCTTGTACACCAAATACCCCCTTCAGTCTGTCCACACTAAACATTTACAAGTAAAATCTAACAGAAGTTGTTTGAAACTTCTCAGATGGGTGTCTTCAGACGATAGGCTTTGCCAGCAGTTGGGTTCCTACCTTCTCCCCCAGATGTCCTACCTCCCAGCCAGTCACTGTCATACTTGGCCCCTGGGAGCTATGGTATGTCAGCTGGAACCTCCTTGCCCCCTTCCCAGCTCTCCTCCTACACAACCCCCTACCCTGAAAACTGAGTCACACCACTCCCCACTCCCTAATGGACTGTTTGTGTAGTCAAAGATGGTGCCTAGCTAGATGCAGCTGGTTAGATGGAAAGTCCGAGGAGCAACAAATTTATAGAGGATTGCCAAAAGTTCTCTTTTAGATAAGGGATGCTTTTGGGGTAAAGTACCGGAAGTTCTTCAAACTAGCAAGTTTGAGACATCTGTCTGTCTGTCCTGCCTGGGTCTGTGCTGAAGGCCCGAGAGACCCACGTTGAGTTCATCAGTGAAAAGAGATTTCCACTGAGAGAGAGTCTGTGGAGAAGGAAAGAGCCCAGAGGGTGTCAGGCAGAGAAGACAGCACAAAACGGAGGTGGAGAAGCACAGTACGGGGTGGCTCCAGAGAGCAAGCAAGTGCACAAACCAGAGACTAGACTGTGAGCAGCTCCGAGTTCCCAGACGTGGCCATGGAGTCTCTCAAACCTGTTCTCCAACATTTGTTCACTAAGTCCAAAGGAAAATGAAAGAATTTCTCAGGAAGCCTACATTTTTAGTGGGGTTTTTATTAGCCAAGAAAATATTCTTGATGAGTTTCTAGATAGGGAATCTCACCTTAGCCACTAGGCAGCCCCCGGTGTCCTGGAGTGGGGGGCCTCCAGAACCTGCAACGCACCCCTGTAGTTGCCCCGCCTCCATCAGGAAAGCCAGCCGCATGGATTATTTATTCCTGGAAGTGCCATCAATTGTGTCCCGACTCCTCACTACCCAGGGTAGGGTTCCTGGGGAGGAGCTACTGGTGGGTTTGAATCACCGATCTTGTGGTTAGCAGTCTAGTGCTGATCCTACAGTACCACACCAGGAGCCCTAAATCCTGGACTAGCTAAGCTAGAAGCAGAACGCCTGCCTGTCCCCCTAGGAATGAGGATTTGCCTGCAGTCAGTTCTGGACCTCTGGAATGGGGTCTCAGGGGTCCAGTTCTCCTCGCAGTCCCTCATGTCTTCTTCGATGACAGGGGCTGTTTTCACTCGGCACCTAGAGACTGAATCTGCCCAACAGAAGGTGATTTGGAGATCAGGTTCCTCAGTTAGAGTTAGAGATTCGGTCCCAGCATGTGTTTGCTGCCCTGCTGTCCACCTCTTCCCCATGCACTCTGGTCAGTATTAAGAAGAAGCCTCTCAGAATGGCAGTCTTGGCTGCTTTGGGCTGTGTGGCTGATTCCATCGTCTTCCTCTTCATGCATTTTTATGTGTAACCCTCCTCCTGGTACGGACCATGTAGACTGGTGACCAGGGAAACAGACATGCTTTTTAAGCTGGGGTGGGCTTCTTCAGCTCTGTGGGCGGTGGCAGTACTTGTGAGCAGAGAGACTCACGTCAGAACCTTGTATTTGACTTTCAGCATCTTATAGGCTGTTTTAAGGAGCTCTGGTAGCATAGTGGTTATGAATCGGGCTGCGAACTGCAAGGTCAGCAGTTTGAAACTACCAGCCGCTTTGCAGGAGAAAGATGAGGCTTTCTGCTCCTGTAAAGATTTGCAGCTTTAGAAGCCCTGTTCAGGGTCGCTATGGGTCGGAACCGACTTGACAGCACTTAACAAGAACAACAACATAGGTTGTTTGGCTTGTCACTAGACCAGTGAGCTCTGAAATTTCTCTTCGGGTCCTCCTCCATTCAGGCTAGCGGTCACTCTCCCATCAGTCCTGCATGTCCTTGTGCCGTTTTTACAGAACATGCTTGCGTCATGCACAGAATGACCAACAAATAATGAAGCAAACTACCTATGTGACTTTATAATGTTATATGTGTGTAGTCACACCTCATGTATGTGGTTTATGCTCTGTATGATTTGTAAATACATATTGATAGATAGTAGATAAAAACCAGCCAGAAACAAGCTTGGGAAAGCGCTCAAAGGAGAAGCTGAGTCATATACCAAGCGACTTCCTCTGGTTCATGAGACAGGCCATCTGATGGAAAGGGATGTGATGGGATGGCTTTCTGAACAGCCATTCTGAATGGAAGACCAGCTGAACAGCAAAGAGAAGAACCTGCCATTGCCTGTAAAGGGAAGAACAAATCACAAGTGTATTACAGGCTCTGTGTGAAATTCTCAAGACAAGAGGACTTGGGTTGGCCCTTCCATTCCATGGAGAAATACTGCAATGGCATCTTGCACCCAGCACTTTGTCATGCAGTGGAAAAGAGGATGCATCCGACTTTAAGTTCCAGTTCCATTGCTTGTGAGCTGTCTTGGGCCCAGGCCCACAGTCTTCCTTCTCACTAAGCTTCCATCTCCTCATCTGTAAAATTGGAACAATATTGTCGTTTTCTTCACAGGAATGTTGGGTGGCCAGATGTATTCACGAGCATAAGTTTTCTTAACAAACCCTAAAGCTATTTGTCCATGTTTAAAATGTTTTCCCAGACACAGCCTTACTTAACCCCATAGTACTTAATGTATCCCTGTTCTGCATTTGAGGACCCAGAGAATTGTGGGCTGGAAGACTTGGCAGGTTACATTGTGACTTTAAGATCGACCATGTTGTCGTTGTGGTTGTTAACTGCGGTTGAGTTGGTTCTGATTCATAGTGACTCTGTATGAGCAGATGGTTGGTTTCAACTGCTGACGTGTGGCTAGCAGTCCAGTGCTTATCCTACAGCACCACACGAGGGCTCAAGATCAACCATAGCTCACTCAAAAAATGTTAACAAAGGAACAACCAGAACACAATTAAAGAGAATGTTGACACATTGTGAGAAATGTAACTAATGTCATGAGAAATCTGTGTTTGTTGTTGAGAAATGCCATCGAGTCGGTTCCAGCCCATAGCGACCCTGTATAGGGTTTCTGAGGAGCAGCTGGGGAGCTTGAACTGCTAACCTTGCAGTTCAAATGGCTTTGCAGTCTGGCGCATTAACCCACAGTGCCATACCAGGACTCCAGAAATTTGTGTAGCAATTGTCAAATGGGAACCTAATTTGCTGTGCAAACTTTCACTGAAAAAAAAAAACAAAAACAAAGATCTTTTTTTTAAAGTGTCAGCAATTCTGCTACTGTTGCTAAAATAGAGGAAATGGAAAAGCTGTAACTATCTCCTGTTCTGTCCCAGGCTCCCTGTGCCCATCTCTGGCCACTTACTGAGAGAAAGAGATCGAACCTCAGCCTAGCACACATCAAGGGTGTTGATACTGTATTGTTGTTAAGTTCCGTCAAGTCGGTTCTGACTCAGTGATCCGGATAGGGTTTCTGAAGAGCAGCTGATGAGCTTGAACCGCTGACCTTGCAGTTCAAAACAGTTTTGCTGTCCAGTGCATTAATCCACAGCACCACATCAGGACTCCATATTGTTGTTGTTAAGTGCCGTCGAGTTGGTTCTAACCCATAGCGACCCCATGTAGGGTTTCCAAGGAGTGTTGGTGAGCTTGAACTGCAGACCTTGTGGTTCAGACTGATTTTGTAGTCCAGTGCATTAATCCGCAGCACCACACCAGGACTCTATATTAAGGGAAGATTATTCTGTGAATGCAGAGAGGTGTCTGTTACAAAAGTGGGAAGTGTTTGCTTTCTGATTGGTACTTGTGTTTCTTCGTGTGGCCCTTGAGAACAATACCTACTCTGGTTTTGTCTTGTTTTGTTTATTTTTTTCTCATCAACATGTAAGTTTTATTGAAAGAATTATACTCTTGAAATGTCTTTGTGTTCCTCGTTTCTCTAAGGGTTCGTATGTAAATATTGATATCATTTTGCTATTCAGGGTATTTGGTGGTGGGAAGGCGGGGAGGGGGGCGATACTCCCTTAAGTAAAAAAAAAAAAAAGCATTTTATTAATTGATTTCCTTTTTTTTTTTTTTTCTTTCTGCCTCTCATTTCAGAACGGTTTGATCACCACTGTCCCTGGGTAGGCAACTGTGTGGGGCAAAGAAACTACAGATTTTTTTATATGTTTATTTTATCTCTGTCTTTTCTGACAGTCTTTATATTTGCATTCGTTATTACCCACGTCACCCTTCGTAAGTATGCTGGCGGAATCACATTATGTATGTAACCATAGCCTGACTTTGGTTCTATGATTTCATTTTGATTGGATGTTTGGATCATTTCAGGCTTCCTCTTCTTTCTCCTTTTCCTTCTTCCTTTCCTCATCTGCAGCCTGTCCCGCTTTCCTTTCTCCCCTTTCCTCCTCCCTCTTCACTCCCATCCCCATCATGCCAACAGGGTGTCTCCAGAATGACAATAACTGGGTGGGGTTTACTTTGCCCAGTGAGACTTTCTCCTGGACACAGGCGTTGTCCCTATTCAGACCCTGTGGCTTCCCTCTCCCTTCTGCTAAGGGCTGTCCTGGAAAAACAGTTGCCTCGCCTGGCACAAAAGACGCCATCCTGCAGTGATGCCCACTGGGTGGCTGAGCCTTTGGTTTCAATGTCTTATCTACTTAGACAAGAGCAGTCACCCTGGCCTTATTGTTAAGTGTCATAGAGTCGGTTCTGAACCATAGTGACCCTATGTAGGGTTTCCAAGGAGCAACTAGTGCGTTTGAACTGCTGACCTCATGGTTCAAACTGACCTTGTGGTCCAGTGTTTTATCCCACAGTGCCATAGCAGTGGCCATCCTCCCTAGAGGGCAAAATATGTAGGGATAAAGACTTAAGTTTTCTTGCAAGTCTTTATCTGTTTTGTTTTGGGGGTTTTTTTTCCCAATTATCTGTCAGACCATGAATAAATGACCCCTAACATATAAGGAAAAAGGAGCTCTGGTAGTGTAGTGGTTACGAATCGGGCTGTGAACCACAAGGTCAGTAGTTTGAAACTACCAGCTATTCCGCGGGAGAAAGATGAGGCTTCCTGCTCCCATAAAGATTTACAGCCTCGGAAACCCTGTACAGGGTCACTATGGGTCGGAATCGACTCGATGACACTTAACAACAACAAACATATAAGGAAGCAATTTTACTTAAAAATTAAGAGTGGATGTAAATGATTAAAATCTATATTTGCCTAAGCAAGTGGCATTTTCATTCCCTATTCTGAAAGACATAGATTTCAAACTCCATTTGAGTGCTGTTGTTGTGTTAAGTGCGGCCTAGTCAGTTTCAACTCATAGCAACCCTATAGGGGTGGGGAACCTTTTTTCTGCCAAAATTTATAAACACCATTCATGGGCCATACAGAATGATCAACTTAAAAATTAGCCTGGGCCAGACCACATGACTTCTCGGGCCTTCTCTGACTTGCTGGCCTGGTGTTCTCACCCCTGCTGAGGTGACTGTGAACTGTTGGTGAGTTTGAACTGCTAACCTTGTAATTCACAGTCCAGTGCTGACCCTATTAGCACCGTGAGAAACTAGCATTGCCTCGTGTCCACAATGCTGAAGCGTAACTGCCTGCTGAAACGTGCAGAGCCTCTTCCTGGAATGTTCCAGAAGCCTCTGAAAACACACCCCTACTTGCTTCCAGTGTGGTGGGGGTTCACAGGCTGAAGTTGGGGTGCACATTTCCCTCCCCCTCTCTTCTAGTGGGTCTGTGTCGGGGTTGGAGAAGCAGTGGGGTGAAGTGCATCACATTTGTTCTTCGTGACTATGAGCCCAGTCAAGACCACATGTGCATCTGAACCCTGGTTCCCACTCTGAATCCCTGCAGTCATTGCGAATGAAGCTGACACCAATGTCTAAGACGTGTTTGAGGCATAGCTGGGTGGGTTTGGAAGATGACAATTCCCATTCTCCTCACAGGCCTTTCCACACAATGGTGATCGTCACCCACAGTCTCTCTCTCTTCAGAATCACAAAGAGGCCATTCCAGCCATACTCATCACACCAAACTCACTTTCAAGTCGATTCTGACTCACAGCAACCCTGTTGTTGTTGTTAAGTGCTGTCGAGTCGATTCTGACTCGTAGGGTTTCCAAGGAGCAGCTGATGGGTTTGAACCACCCACCTCATGGTTAGCTGCTCAGTGCTTATCCTACAGCACCATACCTGCTGCTTAGTGTTCCTGAGACTAACTGTTTACAAGAGAAGAAAGCCTCCTCTTTCCCCCTTGGAGCAGCTGGTGGGTTAGAGCCGCCATGAGCAGCCCAGTGCTTAGCCCACAGTGCCACCAGAGTTCCATAATCCAGGCTCAGAGATATGGCAGGTTCGATTCCAGACCACTACAATAAACAGTATCGCAGTGAAGCGAGTCCCACATACGCTCTGTCCCGTGTTCTATAGACATCCAGTGTGCAGAGCATGATGGAGAGCAAGTTTGACATCTTGTGAGAATTCCCAGAATGTGTCACAGAGACACAGCGTGAGTCCAAGCTGTAGGGAAAATGGCCCAATAGATTTGCTCAACCCAGGGTTGCCACCAACCTTCATTTGGTATAAAAAAAATATGTATCTGCAGAGTGCAACAAACAAGGTATGCCTGTATATTCTTCAACTAGAGAAGAATGTGTCCCGATTTTCCCTTGTATCTGTGGCATTGAAAAATGCCATCCACAGGTGGGGTCACTACGGGTCAGAATCGACTTGGAGGCAGCAAAGATGACATGTGACATCTTCATACTATCTCTCACAGTTTGCAAATGCTCGTTCTGTTTATGGCCTTGTCAGCACATCCAGACACCACGGGCCACTTTGCACCTGCATGGTCACACACACACATTCCGGGAACACATTCACATGCGCTATCTGCCCCTGGGTTATGCACTGTGCTTACGTCTTCTCTGAAGTGCCATTCACCCCAGCTCCCACTAACCATGGTCACTGGAAGCCTTGGTAGCATAGTGGGTTATACGTTCAGTTTCTAACCACAAGGTCAGAAGTTCAAATCCACCAGCTGCTGCTCTGGAGAAAGGTGAAGTTTTCTACTCCTGTGAATGTTGACAGCCTCAGAAACCCTATGCAGTGTCTCTGTGAGTCAGAACCGACATAGAAGCAGCTTATACTCATATAGTGTGAACCCAGTCCCCTGTCCCAAATGTCTGCATGCATGTTACCTTTTGGACAAAATATTTTGAAGATGAGGGGGCTTCAAAAAGTTAGTGGAAAAATGGAATTAAAAGATAATGGCATTTTCCCATAAACTTTATGAAGCCTCCTCATATATAGTGTTAATCCAGTCTTTCTTGAAAACAGTGTTAAGAATTTCTCTGACTGCAAGTTATATTTTAGAGATAATATTAGATATTTGGATGTATTTAAATACTTGGATATTGTGGACAAAAAGTTAAGAAAGTCTTTCTTTCCTCTTGTTCTGCCCCACTCTCCACAAGCCCCACGGGTCTTGGAATGTGGTACTTTGGGAAGGATTGACATGTTTATGTGACCCCTCTTGTACCCCTAAGATTCAGAAAACCTTGATGGAGCCCAGAACTGTTTGATACCTGCTGGAGAATGTTCTTGGGCATTCTCTGCCAGAGACTAGCTCTGAGTGAGGACGATGAGGCAGGAGAGGAGGCTCAGAAACACCTGGGAAGGAGAAGTCAGGATTTCTTTGCAGAGGCAAGGAGGGTTTAGGAGGGAAAAAGCATTTCATTAGCTTCCAGTTTTGTCTCACTGGCTCCCATAGCTTTCCACAGCTACTCACTGATTTTACCCTGCTGGCATGGCAGAGAAGGGGGAGAATTTTGAGCACATTTCTCTCCTATTCCTTCTCACAGTGCCTCTGCCAGTCTGTGTGCCCCAGTGGTAGATGTGGGTTCAAAGGGAAGGGGCTTCCAAGAGGAATGTGGAGCCAGCCCACTCTTGAGCTGCCCACACTCTGACCCTGTTTCTGTCACACACACAGGGTCCAGAGTGTGTCCAGAGATGCCACAGTGCCCCTTCTCCCCCACCCTACCCCCCGTAGTACCTGTTCCCTGAGACTGGGCACAGTAGCATTCCCCCATGATGGTGCTGTGAAGAGCCCCATGTGCCGCTCTGTTAAAACAAACAATGCCAACACAGCACGTACAGATCTCTTCTTGTCGGATGCATGTGTGTTCAAGCCCCTGATGAAATGCTTCCTGAGCAGAGGGCTCACGTTACAAGGTCTGAAATCCTGAGGGAGTCCATCACCAACTACAGGCCTCTGAGCTGTTTACTTGGGTGCACAGAAAGACCTCTTTTCTCTGTAGCCTAGGTGATAGATTTACCAAGGTCAAAAGTTAACAAACTTTGGGAAAACAGTCTTTCAGAAAAGAGAAGGTGGGGGCAAGAAATGGCATCCAGTGTTCTGTTTTCCTAATAAAATGAGGAAAACAAAGGAGTAGTCGGAAGGATAACGTGTGGATAAGTGTGCAGACCCTCACCTGCTTTTAGTGCAATAATGTCCTGAGAAGCTGAGCCTCATAACAAATCTGCCATTTTCTTGTTGAATAACTTTAGTGGAACCTCCCCCTCCCACCAGTAAACTGGGTGTGGGAATACTGGCAAAATATGATTATTTAATTGATCTTCAGACCCCTGTGGTCCTGATGGAGTTACAGGAGCTTTCAGCAGCTGAGCTGTTTGATCTGGAGGTGAGTGTTTGAATACTAAACGCTGGTTTCTTTCCCACAGGTTCGCAGCAAACAGGAATTCTAAATGCTCTTAAGGATAGCCCTGCAAGATATCCTTTCTGGTGTTTCTATGTTTGTGTGCTCTCCCCACTGTTCCCAGACCCCCTCAGCAGCCTGCGCTGTTCTCCTCATAAATCTTACTCCTTGGAGTTCTGTAAAGCAGCCAAAATGCTTCCTAATATTAACATATATGAGTCAGAGCATTTGAATGCTTGAGCCTCTAAGTGACTTACTTTGTATTGTTTGAATTCAAGTGCTCTGAACTCTTGATGCAATGCTGTAGGATCAGCGCTGGACTGTGAACCACAAGGTCAGCAGTTCAAACCCACCAGCTGCTCCTCAAAAACCCTTTCCAGGGTCACTATGAGTCGGAACTGACTCAATGGCATTAATAGCAGCAGCCGCAGTTTGAAAATCCAATATGAATCCTTTTCCACCCCCACTTTGATTCGTGTGATGTCAGGTTGGTTCAGGGAGCTCTAAATGCTAGGCTACTAACCAGAAAGTTGACTGTTCAAGTCAACCCAGAAGTGCCTCAGAAGAAGTGCCTGGCAATCTGCTTCTGAAGCATCAGCCATGGAAAATCCTGTAGAGTGCAGATCTTGTCCAAAACACGTGGGGTTGCCATAAGTTGGAAGTGAATCAACTCAGTGGCATCTAGTCTGGGGTTATGGCTGTGACTGCATGGTGTCGGATTTCATTGTGATCAGCTGGAGTGCAGTATGGAATGTTGATGGACCGCTGCCATGCGTGGGCCTGCTTCGTGGTCTGCAGTCAGCAGGTGGGAACTAACTCACCTGGACACGCTGTGTGGACTCTGTCAGGGGCTGCGTCGGACTCCGTAGTGTCTCCAGCTTCCACCTCAGGCCGTGTGACTTGATGAGCACTTTCTCCTTCCAGACAGCGCCTGGGTATTACGGACTGTTACATTTCTGGGAAATGTTTCTGCTTCAGGTACAGAAGGGCTCCCCCTCTTCTTCATGTCAGCTGGACTGGACTGGCAGTCCACTTTACTCCGAGCAGTCACCTTCATCAGTAAAGAACAGTAAAGTGTACATACTATGCAATTCAGGAGCCATGGTGGTACCATGGGATAAGCTTTGGACTGCTAACCGAAAGGTTAGTGGTTTGAACCCAGCGCTCGCTTCTGTGGGAGAACGATGAGGCGGTCTGCTGCTGTAAAGATTGGTGGTGGTGGTGGTGTGCCATGGAGTCGGTTCTGACTATAGCGACCCTGTTTCCAAGGCTGTAAATCTTTGCGGAAGCAGAGAGCGTCATCTTCCTCCCATGGAACTGCACTGGTAGTTTTGAACTGCTGGCCACCAGCTCTCAGTCCTTTTCTTCCCATGAATCGAGAATCCTCAGCTGCTGCCTCTCTCCATGTCCCCATCTCTGCCTCCATCTCTGGTGTCGCTGCTTCTCTGGATAAGGTCTCGCATTCCGCTTGTGTTCTTCTCTCTTGATGGTCCTAGGGTCCTCTGTTTCTGAACTGTAAGATTAATTACTCCCATGTTTTTGTTACAAAACTTCTACCTTTACAATTGTGACATTCGCAATTAGTCATGATAACAATTACTCACTATTGAATCATAAGAATCATATCCCCATCTCTTTTACCAGACCCATCTAGACAAGATGGAAACTATTTAGTGGGAACTCTTCCCCAACACGCTATTAAACTTAAACTCCCTCTTAGAAACCTTGTAAGCCAGTCACTCCGTGCCTTTATTGCCCCTCATTTTAGGTAGCCTAGGTAGTGACCCAACGGAATGTGGAAATCATTGGACAATCTCTTTGATATCCCATACGAGTAAAGTTTTGTTGAAGGTAATACAGAAATGGCTACAATCATACATTGACAGAGAACTTCCAGAGGTTCAAGCAGGATTCAGAAGAGGCCATGGAACGAGGGATATCATTGGTGATGTCTAATGGATCTTGGCTGAAAGCAGACAATATCAGAAAGATGTTTACCTGTGCTTTATTGACTATGCAAAGGCTTTGGATTGTGTAGATCATGACAAGCTATGGACAACATTGCAAAGTATGAGTATTCCAGAACACTTAATTGTACTCATGAGGAATCAGTACCTGGACCAAGAAGCAGTTGTTGGAACAGAACATGGGAACACTGAATGGTATAAAATTAAGGTGTGCAGCAAGGTTGTATTCTTTCACCTTACTTATTCAGCCTGTATGCTGAGCAAATAATCCAAGAATCTGGGTTCTATGAAGTAAAACATAGCATCAGGATTGCGGGAAGACTCATTAACAACCTGCGATATGCAGATGATACAACCTTGCTTGTTAAAAGTGAAGAGAACTTAAAATATTTACTGATGAAGATCAAAGAGCACAGCCTTCAGTATGGATTACATCTCAATATAAAGAAAACAAAAATCCTCACCACTGGACTAATAAACAACATTCTTATCAACAGAGAAAAGATTGAAGTTGTCAAGGGCTTCATTCTTCTTGAATCAACTATCAACACTCACGGAAGCAGCAGTCAAGAAATCAAATGATGTATTACATTAGGCAGATCTGCTGCACAAGACCTTTTTAAAGTGTTGAAGAGCAAAGATGTCAGCTTGAGGACTAAGGTGCACCTGACCCAAGCCATGGTATTTTCAATCACCTCATATGCATGCAAAAGCTGGACAGTGAATAAGGAAGACCGTAGAAGAATTGATGCTTTTGAGTTATGGTGTTGGAGAAGAATATTGAAAGTGCCATGGACTGCCAAAAGAACCAATAGATCCATTTTGGAAGAAGTGCAGCCAGAGTGCTCCTTGGAGGCAAGGATGGCCAAACTTCATCTCTCATACTTAGGACATATTGTTCAGGAGGGACCAGTGACTGGAGAAGGATATCATGTTTGGTAAGGTGGAGGGTCAGAGAAAAAGAGGAAGACCCCCAGCGAGATGGATTGGCCAAGTGGCAGCATCAATGGACACAAGTGTGGGAACAGTAATGAGGTTGGCCCAGGATCAGTTAGTGTTTCGTTCTTCTGTGCATAAGGTCGCTATGAGCCAGTACCGACTCAGTGGCACCTAACAACAGGTGCTATGTTTGAAGGAAGCTGCTGGTTTTGCTAGAGGAGCCCATTCATCTGAAAGAAGGAAGATGAGATGCACCTAGTTATTTGGTCCAGAACGGATTTTAGTGTATTTTCCCTCAAAACATCATTCCTAGATAAGGCATGTTCTCTGTGACCTAGTGTTTGAAAACGTGTTGAAGTCTCAGCCTCCACCCCCTTTCCATATTGTGCTGACCTCTAGGTGCTGGCAGGTCTCCTTGCCCTTGCAGCATTATTTCAGCGTCTCTCGTCCCCTTTCATGAGCTGGGCAGCACATGTCCCAGTCACAGTGGACATGACCACTCCTGGCACCTTCAGAAGTTGTATCCACCTGGACTCCAGACCAAGGCTTTTCGCAGCACTAGAGGCACTGTAAGATAAGCACCAGGCTGCTAACTGAAAGGTCAGTGGTTCAAACCCACCGGCTGCGCCTTCAAAACCCTATACAGGATGGCTATGAGTCAGAACTAACTCCACAGCACTTAACAACAACAGCAAGCCTCTGTAACAACCACAACCTTCAGTGGCTTAAAATAACACACACGTGTTACTCTCCCAGCTCCGTAGGCCAGAAGGCAAGCAGGCCACGCTTGTTTCTCTGCTCCAGGTCCCACAAGACAGACCAAGGTGTAGGTGGCCTGGGACCTTACCTGGAGGCTCAGGTGGGGATCCTCTCCCAGGCACATTCAGTTTGCAGCTGAACGCTGTTCCTTAGGGTGTAGGACCGAGGTTCCTGTTGCCTTGCTGGCTATAGGCTGGGGTTCTCAGTTTGGGGGGCTCCTGCTCCCCTGATTTATATGCTCCTTCATCTCCTAAGCCAGCAACGTGGACCTCCCCTGCCTCTTCTTCCTCCCCTCTCTGAACTCGACCTCACGGTTGCCCACTTTTAAAGACACAAATGACCCACGTGGGCCCCACCTAGAGCATCCAGAATCCTCTCCCATCTCGAGGTCCACAACTTTTGTCACATCTACGAAGTCCCATTTGTCGTGTAAGGTAGCATATCCACAGGGCCAGCTCCAGGGTGTGGGGGGCTGTTCTGCCAGCCACACAGGCCTTCAGGGGTGTGCCCTGGAAATCAGGTAGTCACATGCAGGCTGGGTCCCTTCAGAGTCCTTGGCCACCGTTACCTCCCTCTCTGCCTTTTCCGGTAGATCTAGACAGGAAGGATGGAGACAGGATTGATGGTTAAAAATGCACTTAAATGCGCACACGTGTTTGTGGACATACATCCATACAGAAACGTGTGTGTGTGTGTGTGTGTGTATACTTGTTGGTGGTGATGCCATAGAGCCGGCAGAACGAAACACTGCCCAGTCCTGCAACATCCTCACAATTGTTGTGTGATCCCATTTTACAGCCATTGTATCATTCCATCTCATTAGGGATCTTCCTCTTTTTTGTTGACCCTCCACTTTACCAAGTGTGATGTCCTTCTCCAGGGACTGGTCCTTCTTGATGGCATGTCCAAAGTACATAAGACAAAGTCTCACCATACTCACTTCTAAGGGGCATTTTGTCAATACTTCCTCCAAGACAGGTTGATTTGTACTTGTAGCTGTCCGTGGTCTTTCTGATGTTCTTTGCCAACATTCAGATGCATCAGTTCTCCAATCTTCCTTACTCATTGTCCAGTGTTTAGCATGCATAATGTTAAGTACGGTCAAGTCAGTTCCAACTCTGTGGCCCTGTAGAGAGTGTCTGGGTTTGAACCACCAACCTTATGGTTTGCAGTCCAGTGCTTATCCAACAGTGCCACACCGGGACTCCTAGTATGCATACAAAGCCATTGAAAATACCAATGGCTTGGGTCAGGCACACCTTTGTTATCAAGGTGACATCTCTGCTCTTTAACACTTTAACAAGGTTTTGTGTCAAGATTTGCCCAATGCTAAACGTCATTTGGTTTCTTAACTGCTGTTTCCATGAGCATGCATCGTGGATCCAAGTAAACTGAAATCCTTGACAACT